CGCCCCCGAGCCCTTAGAAGCAGCTCGGCCTCCAGGGGGCGTCCGCGCCCACGGCCCCTGATCAGCCTACCGCGCCGAATCCAGCTGCTTCTAACCTACCGCGGAGCCGTCTGCGCGCTGAGTCGGGTCCTGCGCGCTTTAGCGTTCGGAGTCCAGTCGCGGCGGGACCCCCGCCCGGCCCTGGCCACCCCGAACCCACCGCTAATGACTTCTGCGGCCCCTCAGCCGCTGGGTCAGTTTGGCCCGAATCCTTTTGGTGGGAAAGTGCGGGGGGAGCTGGGATCTGGAACCGAAGAGCTCGGTGTTCGGCCCTGGAGATCCTGATCCAGAGAGAGGAGTGGGCTTAGAAACAGTCACAAAGGTGCCAGCGATTGGCACCAGAAGCAGGTGGGAGGTCAGGGAGCCCCGGGGAGTCCAGATCAGAAGCAAAAACGTGAGAAGGAGCTGGGAGAGTGGTCGGAGGCGCACGCCGGAGGCCGGAGGCCCGAGCTCAAGGAAGGGAGCGGGCAGAGGTTTGGGACGTGCTAGGCCAGGTCACTGGGGCGCCCAGTAAGGTGCCTGGCAAGTCGGAGTGAGGCCCTGAAGGCAATGGGCAGGCTGGTGGGCAACTAAAGCTCCAGCCTCTCCTTTTTTCTTTTTATTCTGGGATTCTGGGAATAATTTACCTTCTATAGCTGTCACTGGAGCTGAGAGCAGGCTCCAGCTCTGAGGCCGTTGCTGGCTGAAAGCAGGTACCTGGGTTTGTTTAGATTCTATAATTGAAACTCTGTTGCTATCACTGGCCGCTCTGAGCTCTGAGGCCGCGCTGGCTGATAGCAGGTTTCTGGGGTTTGTTTAGGTTCTATAATTGCAACATTGTTTCAGAGTGCAAGCTCAGAGGCCAGCAGCGGCAGGCGAGGAACCTTGGCTTCCTCCATCACTGGATCAAGCAAGCCTCCTGTTCGCTTCAGCTGCCTGGCTGCCGGCCGCCATCTTGGTTGGCAGTTAATTTGCATATCTCG